GGCTCACAGTGGCCGAATTCTTCCCTCATTCTTTGATGATTGTGATCCTGCAACCATCCACTTTCCTTTTTTATTTCTTGTGTCATCGATAATTTTCACTCGCACCGTATCTATCCTCAGTTTCTGAGCACGAGGGAAACGACAACAGTTTTTATTCCAGATCGGTCAGTACGTCAGCTCACTATGGCAGCATGGTGTGCGGAGAATCTACGCGATCTAGAGGTATCACCGCATTTTTTCATTATTTCCTCGGTTTCGAAACACTTTAAGCTCTCCTAGGGGCAAGGCTACGCTGCGGGGTACACCGGTTTTTGAGAGTTCAGTAAGCACCCAGGTACAGTACAAGTAAGATGGGTACGCCGCATTTCTGAGTACGGTAGGCGCAAAACGTACGTAAGTGAAGACTTCTGCCCGCTAATTACGACGTGAAGGGACGCTATGGAGTAACTCACACATTCCAGCTTTTCACGCATGTCAAGTGACTGCCCTCACCCCCCACCAGATTGGCTACACTCCCCCTGGCTCACGAATTCCCTCAATTCTCGTGACACCATAGTAGCGGGCAGCAGTCCCCACTTACATACATTTCGTGCCTACCGTATTCAGAAAATACGCCGTCCCACTTGTGTTGCAGCGGCACGCAGTATACGCAGTGAATTATGTTACGCTGATTTATCGGTTCTTTACAGACATTATCTCCCACTTTCTGCCAGTGAGCCTGCTGGGAGAGGGAGAAACTTTGAGAAAAAAAGTTGCTTACCCACTCCGGACCTTCTCCCTTCCCCCTACCTCCCCGCTCTATTCCCTATGAGGTTAGTCGTGTTGATTCTCATTGTGACAAGGCGCACATAAAGCATTTAAAATACTATCTTGCTTTGATGGCCATGCATTCCGTTCCATTCAAAATTAGAAAATAATTGAGAGATTTTTTGCCATCTGATTAACCCTTAGAAGTGACTTTGTTAACCCAGCCGAAGTATAAGTTAATGGGTACTTCCTGTCAGTCGGAAATGGTGCTAATCGATTAACCGAAAATGTGTGGCTCCGGAAACTCCCTTCCATATGTAGGATTAAATCCTTACAATTCTTCTACGTCCATGTCAAGGCAAAACTGGGTGTAAGTGGAAACCCGAGGCGCTATGATTGCCTGTCTCCCCTCCCCCATAACTTCTCGTGGTGATTTGATGCCGAACCCCTTTGATTTGAAGACCCAAATCGTTTTAGGGATGGAAAGCGTCCGGACTGACACTGTCTACCACTCCGTCCAATGAGTGTGCCAAGCTGTTTGACGGTGCTCTTCGACAGATCGTCTCATGGTCAGATTGTGAAGTACTTGGAGGCTTTATCAAGACACTGGACGACATGAAAGCTGCTGATCCCAAAGCAGGTATCCATATTATTTCAGACAGTTAGTAGAAGAGATCGTCGCATCGGCTCTGGAATCCGATCATTTCAAAACATGACTCAGCTGTTTTCCTTGTTCAAGTTTCGCCTTTAACGGCCCAGCGGTTAGGATGGGCAGCCAGAACAAACTGCACTAATCAGTTCCCAATAAGCCGTTCTTCTTCGCTCATCTCCTCCTCCTATACGCCTCCTTTTTTCTGCGCGATCTAGGTAATAGCCTGTCTGTCAAGAGTTGTACTGTGTTTTGATCTTCAGTCATACCCCTCCTTGGGTAGTGCGGGAGGGAGCTACCTTTCAGCCCAAAGTGCTAGCATTTAATTTGAGGCTAGCGTTTTCTCGTCTGCAATCGTACGTAATATTTATTTATTTATTTTATTGCAGACTTTTTATTGCATGCATTTTATTTATTTTATTTAGAGTGTGAAGGGCCGATGTCAGACTTGCGAATGGTAAGCGGATTGTGCCAATCTGCCGCACATGCGAACCAGGCGGACGCCAGCGAACCGCTAGCAGCGAATTGGTTTAATTTCGCAAAGTCTGACATCGGCTTTTTGCCTAGATTGTTTCTATGCGAACGCTCGCGATACCTCGTCAATTTTTTCCGCGTTCTTATTGCCTGCTTCTTTTTCAGCATCAAAATCCTCATGCATCAGTTTTATCCCATTCGCGGACACGGCGCTGGTTTTTTCGATCCCGACCAGGCCATAGTGAGGTGTTCGCAAGTTCAGCCACGTGGTGTATGGCCCCTAACGACCGTATTTCGTAATGGCGGTGCAGTTATAACCAATAATTAATTTCGCTCCAATTTCCCCATGAGGCATTTTGATTGCCATGACGCACGACCATAGTTACTTACACTTAATTTCTTGCATGTACGCTAGGTCTGCGGCCGAAGGGATTAGAGGGGAAAATTCCTTTAAATTTTCTCTGTCTTCCCAACTGGGATTACCCTGATAAAAGGCCTACATTAAATGTATGTATGTAGGTTAAAGTAAACATGCATTGAAAATGAAGAAACTACATCGTTCAAAGCAAATAAATTTAAAGGAAACTTTGCGTCACCTAGCTTCGGGGAAGGATAGCATACGGCCCAGCTATATCGTTCGCTGGCTGCGACGGATCCGCGGACTGCTAGCCGAATCGCGTCGATCGCAAAGTCTCGCATCGGCCACCAATGCGACATCCTGTTTTTCTCCATGTTTTGCCTAAATTTATGTGAAAACTTGCCTTACAGGGGTTACCGAAGAATAACTTTCATGAACTTTACGCTTCGTTTTGGCGTTCGAGCGCGATAATTGCTAGTTGGTACCACCATTGACAAGATCAATTTGCTAGGGCACTAACTTGTATACGGCCATTTCTAGGTTGGTGGACGATTCTTCAATCCAACTTAAAGTTAATCAAATACTCCGCTGCCGAACATTCGCGCACACATTCAGTCTAAGAAAATTCCTTTCATCAAAAAAGACATTCTAAAACATAAACTGTTCACAAAATTTTCATTTAAAGCCCGTCAGCCACCAGCGGCTGACATTGTCCGAGTGCAAACCTTTGTTCCAACTAGTGATGGCTGAAATTTTCGCGCCCGAACCAGTTGCTAACACTCAGAAAAATTACTCAGCGACAAGGAAGCTAGTATCAAATTGTTTTTCGTACAGTGGTCATATCAACTGATACGAGCTGATTTCCAGTACTTCCGCGAGCATTTCGACTCGGTCTGGAGGGTCTTGGTACTGGCACATGTACTCGCGTCAACGAGACCTACAAAACCAATCTCGACCAGGTATACGCTGACGCTCAAGCTTACGGTAACCCAAGAGAACTGAAGCACATGCCAGAGCCAGTCCGACTGTGGGGCCAAGGGTGAGTGAGACTCCTCAGCTTACAGTAGTTTCCACCGTTGATTTACTGGAATTTTAGAAAGATGAAGGATGCCACAAATATCTGGGAAGAGATTCTCACCGAATATCCGACTGATTTAATGGCAATCAAATTCGCCCATGATGCGTACTTTTTTATGGGCGACGGCAAAGGAAAACGTGATTCGGTCAAAGCTGTGATACCGAAACAGAAGGGGACTGAACCGTGCTACAGGTAGCCCATACCCTAACCACTTAACTAACGGAGCTGTAGCGATATGAGGCGTGTCGCTAAGGAACACTCTGTACGCACCTTGCGCCAATTAATAATCGCAAAATCTGGGAATCCGAAAATTTTTTATTCAAGATCAGCTTGTTGAGTCTGCCCTCTACGCGCGTTGGTAAAGCTTTCACAAAGGGTTATATGGTATTTTTGAGGATAAAAGGATAAAGGATAAAGCATTTGCCGTTGATCAATCCCTTTTTGGGATGCGGCACGCTACTTCCATTTGTACATTCGTAGTGGCGTTTGAATGCGATGTGGCCTATACAATGACTTGCGGGCCAGCCGATGTACAAGTCAGTGTTTTTATCCTCCCAGACAAGTCTGGTACCAATTAACCGACCCCGGAGGGATGGAAGGCTTGGTTGGCCCGGGCGACTCACGACCCAGGATTTGATCCCCGGACCGCTCGCGTGGTAAGCGCGCCACTTGTCACTACACCACTTCCGCCCTTAAAAGTAAAAGTTACTGTTTAAAAAAGAACGCTCTAATTCTTGATACTTCTCCCTCCCAATGAGGAGTGCGGGTGAGCCTTTCGATAATAGACGAACTCCAGAATTCAGCGTAGAATCGATTTTGCGATCGCGCTGTCGCTAACGTTCCGCGACGCATAGAGTAGGTGATGCGGCCTGCATAGGGCTTTACGGGGGTTCCGCAGTCCCAAAGGTCATATTTATTGTTCAGGGGTCAGCGATACGCATCGCTGCGTCAGCGATATCGCGATCGCTTGATTGATACGTATCTATTGTACACACTTGCTGCGAGTGAAACACTAGGTGGTCGAAAGCTACGACAGCCGCCTAAGGCAGTGTCAGACTTTGCGGAGTACGAGCGTTGCATCAGCGAATCGAACGAGATACCAACGGATCGAACGACCAGTGGCTCGGGAGTGTTTGAAAGTGGCGAGAGACCCTCTCGTTGGCTCGTTTACACGCGTCACTGTTGCCAGGGCGATCATCGTTCCGTGCTGCTGCGCAGCCCCTGCAATGCTTTGACCTCGCGGTTGAGTAGCTAATCGCTGGATTCGCAAAGTCTGACACCACCCTAAGGTATAAACGGAGCGCAATAGACCGACTAACATCTTGTAGATTGTTGGCAAGATATCAGTTTGAAAATTGGATAGGCTCATACATTCTTCATAAAGAAGGTCTTCGGAACTAGTGCGAATAAATCGTAGTACTGTTTGCATTTCAAGGAAGAATGCTGCACTAAGTAGCGTTTGTCGATCAGAATATATATTTGTTTATTCAGCTATCTTCATGGAATGTTGGCATTCGGACTAGAGGAGTGCGAACAATATGCGGAAGCTGAAAAGGAAGCTGTGAAGGTAAGCTATAAGAGCGTTTCAAATTACAAGGTCACCTCACACTTTCCATTTCCGGAGCCTGTAGCCAGCTGGGAATTTTCCGCATATGGCCTAGCAAGTCCTCATCATGAATAACCTTTGTATCGCCATTATGGCTTGAGCAGCCCTCAATCTAGTCTGACAAAATCTGACAGTAAACTGAATACTTGTCACCAGCACATCTACGCACTAAAATTCCGGGCCAGATTCACATCACATTTCCAAATCACATCGTTGGATTCTTCCCTTGGTGGTCGTAACTCAAAAGACGTCAAGGACTTGGGGGGAGATGAAGGGCGAGGAAACTCTGTTACGACAGCTCTCCCTCTAGGCCAAATCCATTGCTACCTGATTTCGGTGATGGAATAAGAATTGAGCTTTAGCTGCTACCTATTACCCTCTATGTTCCAGGCTCTGAACATGCACCGCTTCGATTGCTGGGCAACTCATGCACGAGCCCACGTGATGCTAATGGAAGGCCGTATCGATGAAGGCATACAGTTTATGGAAAGCACCGTTGATGACTGGAGGGTAAGTAACATAGACAAGTGGCAAACAATAGGCAAAATGACATGGTTTGGCGCAATGTGGCTCCAGGGGGACACTCTGTAAAAAGGCCTCTAGGACTAAGCCTAGGCAGCAGGGACGAACTCCGGAGAATACGAAAATTGCTTCCGCACACCGGAGTTCCTCTCCTCTTCAAAGCTTAGTTAAAACTGGAGCGTTTCCGTGATCCTTGACGCGATGTTGCGTGGTGCCCTCCCCTTCCCCCCCCCAGGCCACGCTGTGCTGTGGTTTACAGTCGAAATGAAGTTGAAGGCACAGTCGGGATGACGCGGTCACACTAACCCTTCCCACCTACGATTTCAAGCGTGGTCCTAATGCATGGCGTAGATCAGTTAATGGAATCATGTCGTTCATAAGACTCCATTCCTGTTTATTTTTATTTTCCATTATTTCTAGCCAGGATGGATCATTGCCACTCATAACTACTGGCATAATGCACTCTACTACATCGAGCAAGGAAATTATGAGGCACCGCTGACAATTTTCGATGAGTGAGTCACTGATGGCGGTCACATATAACATAGGTTCCATATCGCCCTGTAAAGGTAGCGCTCCCACCTCAAATGAGACGATTTATTTTCAGTGAAGTGTGCCGTCGTGCCAACAAAAGCGGTTCCGTGCTGGATCTGGCCGATGCGGCATCGATACTGTGGCGCTTGGAATTAGAGGGTGTCGACGTTGGGAATAGGTGAGGCCTCATTCATGTGAGAAATTTATAACATTCGAGCGAAGAAACCCTATGAAAACGAAGAAATTGCACCGCAAAGAACAACTTCTGAAGGATGCGCGCCGCACTCTACTTCCACTCGGTTTTGTGGAGGCATTGGAAGGCATGTTCTACGACGAGCACGTTGGACCAATATCGGGGTTGGGTTGTTGGATCCGCAACGGCAAAAGTCTAATAGTATCATTTTTGCGAGCCAATACGCATTGGAAAGGTGCTGAGGGCTGAAAATTGCATTAACGGTGCCTGTGACAACCAAACACATCCGCCGTATTGATGTCTGCCGTCTCGTGGTCCCCCTATGCTCTCTCGTCTCGCTCGTTTGTGCTCTCACTTCGACCTAGGGAGGCCGTTTCTAATGGTTTCTGTCTGGTAGACTCCGAGTAGGATCCTAAACAGACAGCATTCTGTGGTTTCTCTACCTTTCCTTGACTGAATGGTCCAACCAGCCCCTCTTCAACCGCTGCTTCGTTGTTAACGGACCATAGTTCGCACGCTGCTAACCTGAGTGTCCTTAAATTGTATTCTCCATACGAGAATACGTAGTATACTGGTAATATGGGCAGGATACTCCTACTTTTGCAAGATTAATACAGCATGTTCTCTTCTGGCTGTCCTTTTGCATTGTTTAGGTGCCATAGATCGCCGCTCCTTATGCTGGCTGAGAGTTGTATTCAATCAGCCCATACGCCGTTACTTCAAACTGTGGCTGGCAATTTCCTTATAAGTAGATTCACGTGCAGCAGTGACTTTAAAAAAAGATCGAAGCCGGGAGTGTTATGCCTATTTATTGTCCACCTGGCTTGAGTGGTTAGGATCGAACCGCTACTAAATATAGTGTGCGGTCCTTCTCCGCCGAAGGCCGCCTATTAGGCCCTGCAGGCCACGCTTCGGAACTGTTTTTCATCAGAGAAAAATCATAAGTAATACGAAGTCAAGTCTATGCTGAGTTCAGAAAACTGGTGCCTTACAGGTCCGCCGCCACGGTGATGAAAAAGCTTCGAGTCTTCCGTTCAACTTCTTTTTTCACTTTGACTTTTTTTACCAGTGCACTAGCGTCTGTTTCGCTTGACGGAAATGTAGTATTTTCAGATGGCAGTACCTTCCAAATATGAAGACACACTTGGAGGACCATGTAACATGTTTCAAACGATGCCCACATGGGTAGGTTCTGAAAACAAGATTTTTCCTCCGGAACAAGAACGTCCTTTCGATCAGAAAGAGCTCACGGGACCCTAACTCACCAGTGAAGCGAGCGCTTTTGCTTTGACTTACTTTTTTTTTTGGCTCCTTTTTGAGACTTTCTAATTCTGGCTTATTTACGAACCAAGCGCTAGCATGGTTTTCTTGTGGGTCGCTGTGAGTGTAATTGAGCTTCCACTCATCAGTGCAGTTGAGTGAATGTTCGAGCACCTATTTAGCATCATTATAATGCTATTATATTATGTTCAATTCATGCTCTGGAGTTATATTTAACTAAGAAAATTGTTGTCCAATAAACCGCCACAACACAGGAGCCGCACTTACTAGGCGAGGGGACACAGTGGAAGAGAAACATCTCCATGACACCCTTGTCGAGTTCTCCAAGTGAGTTAAGAATTGAAGGCTCTTAATGACTTCTTATCTGATCTATTCTTTTATTTTTTTTTGTTTATTTATTTACTTTACTTATTTATTTATTTTACTTCTTTGTTTAAACTTATTAATCAATCAGCAGCTCAAAGGTGTGCACAATCACGGGAAGAGTGCCACATATGAAAAGCACTTGAACGAAAAGAGCTACACGTGGGCCCGACATTTGTGCTAAAAAAAAACGGAAAACGAATATATTGAATGAGCTGCGCTAGATGAGGTGAGGGGGGAAGTATCCAGCAAGATATTTGTTTTGTCGCCAGGGACAAGGTACAGGCATAATTTTTTTGCTCACAATGCATTGACAAAAGGCATGTAACGCAGACATATATCATAACGTAGTTTAACTGCCGGGTTATTTTAATCTGATTCTTGGTCTTTATGCTATTCCGCCCTTCCCCCCCCCCCTTCGACGAGAATTTTCTGCCGACTATTGAGCTCCTTTTATGCCTTGCGCCGGCGCGGATACGGGGGTGGTTCGCTAGTACAGAATGGACTTTTCCGCCTTTCACATCTGCGAAACTTTTTTCGATGCGGACCATAAGTCTTCTTGCCCATTAAGGACCATGTGTTGCCTGCAACGAAAGAAAGCCTAACTGCTGCGAGAAGCGAAAAAGTCGCTGTCTGTCCCATCGACCCACACTCCGGATAGTGTGGTAAGTGTGAACAACGGCAAAGGCGTCAACACACACATTGGCACATGAGGCGTACTTGACGCGCAGTCGGTGCCTTCCGATCGATTCAAATTTCACTTCCAAAACATTCTCTACGTTCGTTGATGTTCTGGGCCGTGTTGTCTTCGGTCGTGTTTTTCTGGCGCAAAACTTTTCTACATGGGTTCTTACTTCGCGCAGTGTACACACTTGGGGCTTATCTCCACTTTCACACGCAACTATAAGCGTTCAGGGACTACTAAAAACTGGAACTCATAGAGGAAACTTAGAAAGAAAAAGCAAGAAAACAGGAAACAAAGGCACATGGCAGTAATAACATCGAAATTATCGGATTGCTCAGTAATTGGAGGCGGGGTGGGGGGGGGTGAGGAAGCGAGAAACTATTGGTGTGACAGTTGCTGGCGTTGCAGAAGAAAATACAGAACGTTTCTGATATTGCTCTATTGGAAGGCACCGACTGTGCGCCAAGTACGCATTATGAGCCAGTGCATGTGTTGACGTTTATCGCACTATCCGCACTATCTGCGCTAGGAGGCGAACGTATTGAAAGGGTCATACGCGGTGGCTCAGTATCAAACGCGGATCTTCTCACCTTCCTTGCAACCATGTTCCAAAACTTTCCGCATTAGGCCGATGTCATAGTTTGCGAATCGAGCGATTCGCTAGCGAATCGCTGGATCCGAGCGTTGCGCCAGCGAATCGAACGTTGCACCAGCGAATCGAACTTTGCGCCAGCGAGTCGAACGATGTACCAGCGAGTCGAACTAGGTACCAGCGACTCAATAGTGGCGGGACCCAACGTTTAAAAGGAAGCCCGCCACTTTCAAACAGTGTCCACTGCAAAGTCCGCCACTTTCAAACAGCGTCCACTGTCACGTGACACTGTTTGAAAGTGGCGGCTTCCTTTAAACGTTGGGTCCCGCCACTATTGAGTCGCTGGTACCTAGTTCGACTCGCTGGTACATCGTTCGACTCGCTGGCGCAAAGTTCGATTCGCTGGTGCAACGGATTCGCAAACTATGACATCGGTCTTACATTGATCCAAAGAGACACTCACTGATTTCTCTCCGGGGTAGAGGACATATGGTTCGTTGAATAAGAACAGCTTCTTCAAAGCGTAAATTCATGACAGAAAAGGTTGCTTTCACAATTGTTCAAGGAGGTTTGACTTGCCCTTCACATCTGAACATAGCTGCTCCATCAGACAGGGAACTTCGCTGATGTGCTATGTGCTTCCTCTACCGCAGTACTAGGAAAGTCTGCCAACTTGAAGCGGGCTCCCACACCATCTTTCTCCGCTTCTCTTTACCAGACATCTGAACCCATTACAATCTCTTAAAATTACCCATTATTCACATACCGCTTTCCCCTTGATATCATACTGCTTTCCAGAAATGGCGACGTTGATAACGCTAAGGTCTGCCAGGATGTGGGTGTAGCTTTGTACGAAGGTATGACGCTCTATGGACGTGGGCAATATGACAAAGCAGCTGAATTGATGTTACCGATTCGGCATCAGATTTATCGAATTGGTGGAAGTAACGCCCAGGTGCGTATTCTCATTTATAAGAATTGCAGTATGAGTCAGGCAATCGTTCGTCGTCGCAATCTGTGTTTGGTTGTTTACAATCTTGTAGTGTTCATTGAATTTAAATTTGACCGACGAATATCTAAATAGCCCAGCGAACAAGGAGAACATGGTCTTTCCAGAGCAGTAGTCCCAGCGGGATCCACACTTTTATTACTAATGAGGAGAAATAGATGCGTGTGCCCTAGTGAAGAACAGAGTGTCGCTAGAGAAAAAAATTACATTGGAAAGCCATCAGAATGGATGTGATTATGCGCCAACAGCATTGGCTCACTTTTGAGAGAATCGACAGTGAATTGGGTGGGTGCGTTGGTTCCCTTGCGCTGATTTACTGCGTAAATTGTGGCCTTATTCGAAGGAATGCTGCGTCTTCTGTTGACTTCAATTGCTTAGATCGTTTAACTATCCTATTTCTTTGGTTTAATTTGGTGCATATGCGATTGCAGCCGCATTACTGGCACGGAGCCAGCAATGAAAGCCAGCGCAGCAAGTTAGTTCGGACGGCTCGTCCGTCCACACCCCTTCCTCATTTCAAGGGAAGAATTGCAGTCCTTATTTGAGGGTTTTCTCGGCGGTTTCCCTCATTTCTTTTTTCATTTTAGTGAAACTTGCAATAGCAATTTCATTATTATCTGCTTCAACCCCATTTCGAATTTTTAGTTCGAACTGGGGTTGTTGCTCTAGAAGCGATGAAGAAGATAGATGAGTGAGGAGTCTGTAGCCCGCTAAGATGAGTGAGGAGTCTCCGGGAATCTGCCATATCGCTGAATAGCCAAAAAAAATTCCCTCGCTTGATTCACATTGTCACGCTTGTGGTGTGCTTTTCAAAAAAAACGGTGACGCCGGAGTCAAATGTCAAAGTCAGTCAGATGTAAGAGAATGCTTGCAGTGCGTTTTTCAGTGCTTGTCGTCTGGATTCCATTCTGAACCCTCAGACCACACATGGCGACCTCTTTCCCCTTTGAAGACAGTGTACACACTAATTAGTCGTTTTTTTGAGAACCAGCGAAAAGGTGCTGAGTGTTGCAGCAGTGAAGAAGAACCCACGAGAAAAGCTCAATACCCTATGAGAATGCTTCCCGCTCATTGCTCCCGGCGATTTTCGGGCTGAAGGATTATCCAACAAAGTTCAACACTTCCACACTCCTGCTTCCCAACTCTACTAAGAGAATAAACACGCCGATAGATAGGGTCCGATGGCTGGAACAGCTGGTCGAAGGCGAACGCAGCAACGAAGCATGTTTCAGCTATGGGGAAAACCTTAATGGCTGCTACGGACGAGCTTTCGGCCGCGAAACGTGTCACGTCCGTTCGCTTGGTGGCCTAAGCTTCTTTATTCAGTAGGCGTATTGGTCCTCTAGACCTCCAACATATCCTTTGCCTTTACTAGGATTCAAAAAACTGAAAATCTGATTTTTGTTCTTTAGCGCGACATCTTCTCACAGACATTGATACACGCTTGCATTATGTCTACGGATCCGGCTCATTTCCAGCAGACACAGTAAGCTTCCACTTCATACATTATATTGCTCGTGAATTGCTCTCTGTAGCTTCAGTGCTTAATCATCAAGCAGCCCATTGCTCACCACCGTTCATTTCAGGAAGCTCATCGATGAAAGAAGTGCCTTGGTAAATTCGCCGATCACAGAAAGGCTCGCAGCTAAGTTCAGGAAGCATCATCCTATGTAATTTGTGCAATCGTCATATCTGGCAGCAAGAAAGAAAAATATAGCGCAATAGGGATTCGATTTGTGAGATTCGGTTGGTTAGTGGGTTGATCATCTGTTTTCTGGGTTTCGAATTATCCCTTGATGTTACTCGAACCGGTAGAAAGAGACCCAAAAGCAGATGATCAACCCATCGACACATGGACAATGTGATCGATCATCTGTGAATGTCATATTCTCTATAGCCGCGCGATCATTAGATTACATTAGAGGTCTGTATTATCTTCGCCATAGTGCCATCATTTTTCGATAAAGGTAGTAGCTCAACATTCATCAGGATGACGGAGTGTTCTTTGGGCATTCTCTGAGTCAAATCGTTCAGGCATCCTCTGAGTCAAATCGTTTAAGAACCACTGTACGCAGGAACGGAAAACAGATGTGGATAAGAGAGCATAGCACAAAAGTGAGACGCAGGTGGCTAATGGGGAGGTATCGATGCGCATTAAATGCGTCGATGCGTATCAACACCTCCCTAGACCCCTTCGCACGCGTTCCAAAGGTGTAGGGCACAAAAAAGTTGTTGGTTGTTAGAGGCGAAAGTAGAGGTGGTAGAGATGCACCGGTCAAGAGAAATCTGACAGGATAGGCTCAAAACCCACGCGGTCCATTTTCCCAGTATTTCCGCTCTGAGTGAGATTCGGTATATCATGTTATCGACGTGAGCCTCCTTTTCTGACCTTTCCCCTAGTCCCTCTCACAGCAGACGGCGACGGTTCGGCCCGCCTCCTACTGTAGGGATCTGGCTGTGACTTGACTAACTGGCGGGGCTCTCTCACCATCACGTAGTCACAGCCTGAGTCCTCAGTAGGAAGCGAGCCATACCACGGCAAATAGCGCCGGCCACGGTTGGGATTAGCTACGCGGCGATGCGCACCCTTCATGGCGACGTTTGCCTCTGCTCACTTCCTTGAGGTTCTACCGTCCATTTGCAGTATGCATACCTCCCCTTCTCCCCAAGTCCATTTACCGTCACAACCCCCTTCGATTCGAATATGTAAGACTACTCTGCGGTTGCACACTTATCTGTCCTATCCACGGGCGCCTTTGCTCCGCTCGTCGCGATCGCGGGGTGTAGCTCTATGCCTTCCGTAAACGCTGAGTAGTTTCAAAGCAACTGCTGGTCCAATAACATAAGCTAGGGTTTGCATCTGTATGGCTGTACGAGGACCGTTTTTGCATCTGATGGTTTTTCCGCATTTTCATTCCCTCCTCCGACCTGAACACAGAGATTCTTAGTGATTCTTTCAGCGCTTGCGTTGTTAATAAGAAATATGTTTGGACTTGTTTTTGTTTGTCAACTAATTTTGATATTTCTGGCCGCAGTTCGTCTTGCGAATGTCTCAAATATATGTATGGCTTTAAAATTTGTACAAGATGTCAGATGACAATTTTTCCGAAATTTCGCACATCCGCACATCCACATTCGCAGCCGCCCGCGTTTCAATTCAATCCTCTCAGAAGAAACAGTTGGTTCAGGTGTAATTGCCTCATTTTGATTCCTTCCTCTCTTTCTGAGCGAGTTGTTTTATCCTGTATGAATCGTTCTATTTTTTAAGATGAAGATTGAGCTCTTAAAAATTCCATCTTCATATCAAATGTTTGAATGTGATATGTTTGTGATGATTGTGCTTTCAATATAAAATTAAAGCTGTATGCACTAGATTGTGAAGAAATAATTCAGAATGAAATGTGACTTCCAAGGGAGAGCTTGGATATCAATTTTTCACAGTCACATCTCAAACATCTTCGTGCAATTCTGAACATAACATGAGCTTCACTTTAAGCGAAATTTGAGAGAGGGCGTGAATGTCAAGCAAATTTATTAATCAGGTTATGAGGAGCAGCAGGGTTTGTGCATCTTCTTGCTCTCTCTTTAAATCGATTGTTCTTCTTTAGTACAACCACAATCAGCGAATATGTACACCACAATAATCTCCGAAAATTCCGTTTCAGCAGGGATCTTCCGGTTGACGGTTGTTCGGAACTTCTGAGCTTTTAGAAAGGCGAGAATTTGGCTGGATTTCTCCGAAACTCGTGGACTCGTTGCCGCGATAAAGTGAATTTTGAGCAGGAGGAAAAGAGTGCCATGGGGAGCCATGCGATTTTGCGATGACCGTTGGACCAGAGCGGTTACCGACTGGATCCCTCGGGACGTCAAACGAACACCTGGACGACCGCCGGCCCGATGGTCAGACTTCTTCACGAAAGCTCTGAACGAAAGGAATGAACGGCTTCGTGTCCCCTCGAGCGAGGAGGAAATAGAAAACTTCAATCGAAGTTTTTGCCTGACCGACGTCGCTGTTGTTCCGGAGTTCTACGCGGGATC